GATTTCAAAGATAATTGTAATTATAAAAACTAATACAACAGCCCCAGCTGTCTTTTACTACCTTAAGCTAGAAAGTAGTAGTAATTACCATAAAACGCAAGAGATCTTAGAAACTAATATCGTTATTTTTAAAATGCATATTAACGATGTTCAATTTATGCAAATGTTGTTATGCACCGTCAAAATTAATTAACTGGATATCTCATATAATTGGACAATTATCTTCCAGCAGCAAAATCGATAGCCCGTATGAGACAGTGACAATAAATTTACTGTGTAAAGAAAGAATGAAACTGTTAAGTGATAGGGTTGGCGCTTTCACTGCAAATTTATAATGGGTAGAAATTCAAAACCAAGCATTGTCGAAACAAAGATAATGAAATGAAAATAAATCATCTTCAAATTTACTCATTAAAGGCTATTTTTAATTATCATTTTTCTATAGCCCCCGTTAAAGACATCTTTTAACCGACCAGATGTACGGGCGAAATAAACAAATAAAAATATGCGGTTACCTAAAGATAAAGAAAGACGTATAGCACATTAGAATAGTTGGTTTGTTTCGCCTACCATAGATAATTACAAAGGAACCTGTTTAATCAACGGGACCTATATATATTTTAGCCTAGCCCTACAGTAGGCAAATTCAAGGTTTGTGTTACATTCAAAGACACCTAGTCCATTGGTGTATACGATAAAGTTTACTTTAAACTCTAAACAACTCCTTTATTACTTTGTTTACAGAAGTAAACATCAACACCATGAAGTAATACACTTAAAAAATTACAAACAGAATTGTATTCATTCGCATCACCAAGGCTCGACGTAAGTTATAAATTATTGATTTTTTTATTCAGACTTCTAGAAATAGAAATTAATATACAAAACATATTTATCTTCAAACGCCTTGACCTTGGTGGAAAAGGCAGACAGTATACAAACAAGTTATAAAAAATCCATCACGGCAATACAATTTATCAACAAACAACAAAAATATTTTTCCACATTAACAACCCTAGCTTAAGACAAGCAGCTATGCATTAATGTTCCACAAATTAGCATACGTTATTGTAGCATAATAGCATTGGCTCGTGCCGTTTATGAATGTATGTATTTGTGTCTGTTCTGTTTACACCGCTCACTTACATGCTGTTGTGTTCAAGAGCAGCGCGCCTTTAAGTAGGCGTGCACAGGTGTTAGCCAGTCGTGTGTAAACACCCTAATCCGGAGCTCGTAAACTCTATACAAAATTGTTGCATACTTACTGATTAACGTATGGTACAGTTAGCATTTAACTTGAACAAAACAAACTACTACATTCTCATTATGTGAACGTCGTAATAGTGAGAGCTCGTTCCTTATTGCCACGGCAAGTTATATTTGTCCAAAGTAACCAATTATATTGCCAAATAAAAGGGCTAAGTACCGACTTTTTCAGAGTTTAAAGAAAAAAAAACATTAAAATACAAGTATGTATTTAAAATTATTAATGCAAAAGTGACGGCACCATGTAAGATGAGCTAATTTTTACCTATCTCATTTGAATCACCATATTATAATAAATCAAGCAAGCTGAGTGGATTCAAAATCTATTCGACCGCAAAGCTGTTAAATAGTTTTAGTGCCACTATACGGTTAGCTATGCGCATAATAGCTCAACTGGTCAGACTCAACGACGATTTAAGGTCTCCACCCACCACACCGATACATACCATATCTGTAATAGGCACATAATATAGATATGTACTATTAAAATAAAGCCGTACAGACGTTTTGTTTGTAAGCTCCTCAAATGGTTTAAGATCATTGTTAGCACCAGTCAGGCATGGTATGATTTCATCCATGGGTCTGGCCATAGCCTGGGCTAAAGTGGTGTTAAAACAACTGGATATTTCTATAAAAGTACTATCACTGAGAACAAGGGAATTCACTCAAATGGGCTTACTTTTTTTAATAATTAAGATACTACCGATCGTTTTTTTACGTAAAGTGTGCATCCAAGCACGTTGCAACTGAGGGTACTAGCGAGGTCGACATAGCTTATCGACGTTTTCGAGAGCGTAATTTATCACGAGCAAGTCGCTTAAACCCATCTTCTTCAACCGCGCGGAGCCCTAGAATCTTACTTTGTGCTACAACGCACGTGCCGCGAACCGCGACGGATGGCGATTGCGCAGATGTTAATTTGTATGGTTCAACCGCGCGGTTTTTCGGATGCCACTGCGTTGTCGTACCTATATGCCGACCGCTACCCGCCGCAGTTCACGGCTTGTGCGTTGTTCAGCTTACCAAAAGAAACACAGAAGCACCCAAAGATAGTTTAATTTCACAGTCTGTACGATGGAGCTTACTACAGACGATCGCTTGAATTCGAGCTGAAAACCCGCGATGCTCTTCCTCTCTCTCTTTATCTATTTGAGCTTGTTGTCTGTCTAGTCTAGTCTGGCTAGTAGGCGGTGATCCTAATAGAACCGTACAATAAACTAATTCTGTTTCTTCCCGCTTGAAAGTGGAAATTTATAGAATAACGGCACGTGTTAATTGATTCTGATTGTAGTCGCTCTGGTTTAATGGTTCGGTTAATTTTATAGGTAGGAGGTCACGTAGCTTTTAAGACTATTTGCAATAAAAATGATTTGAATTTGAAGTATATCGCTTCTAAATTCATTTATTCAGCCCAATAAGAAATTAGGGCGACTGTCTCTACTCATCACCAATTATTCTAATTGGTTAAAGCATATTTCGTGCAGCAGTGTAGCATGCATTTCTGTCTGCCAGCGTCGAGAGAAAATTCAGACTGGTTAATTTTTATCAACTAAAAGTTTTAATGGGACTTCTTCAAAACTTTTCCGCTTAATTGTTAGCTACAGACAGAATTTAAGTTTATAGTGCGAACTAATGCCAAATTTTGCGCCATTGAAGTGAGACTACAGTTAAATAATGCTAATGCGAATTTATCCAACGTATATAAATAATTGATGATGATTTTCGTTTTGAGTTTGTAGTCTATAAATATCTTTGAATCATACATTGAATATGGACTATTAATTTTTGAATTTAAAGTCCCAAGTTTAGTACATAAGTGCCTATGTTTATAGCTACATAACATAGTAGGGCCCCACCCTCGTTTCGCTTCGGTGTAGATGTAGACTATTGTGAAGCCTCCAGTAGTTTCTAATCAAAAGACTGACTATTTCAACGAGATCGAAAGTCATGGCCGTTTGTTGCTTTTATTGCTGCCCTAGACGTTCTGCCCTACATAAAGGGCTCAAGTATGGTGGGAATATTACACGAGGTGCAAGGTTATGTTTTCTGCATCACTGAGTAATTCCCAAAATACCCGCTTGGGCTCCCCTACTATTACCTATATTTATTTAGTTCCGCAATACATACTAGGGATACGGAAATAGCATAGTAAATATTATGTTGGAATATTCTTAAGCTATTGCTATTAATATTACTATTTAAATACTCAAACGAACACGCACGCAGTGTTTATTTCCGAACGCAACACCTAAATTAAATTGTCTAAATCAGTTAGGTCGAGTAAGTGTATCAGAAATGAAAATAGGTTTGTTTGCAACGCGGCATTAGCCATCCGCCGATTGGTCAGTTTTCGTTTTCGGGAAATGAATTCTCCAGAAGCGCGCAAGCGCAATTCAGGCGAGGTGGCACGGTGCCAAATGCGCGTACCTAACGGAAGCGAAGTGACGACAATAAGGTTGCCACATAATAAAGAAGAAACAAAAAACTATTCCCATCTTTTTAAATTGTAAATATCGACTACCGCTATATAATCCACAATCAGTGAAGGGTACATTATGTAAACATTGCGTCAAGATGTGACGTGGTGTTAAACGTCAAAAAAAGCTCACAGATATTTATACGATTTCAGTATTTCTTTTTCAAAACATAATTATTGTCTCTCGTCATCATCAGCTATTATCTCATTTCTCGGATGAGCATTACCTGTTATTCTTCCCACTGTTAAAGATACCGGTCTTACTTGTAATAGTGGCGTGAATTTTATTGTTTTTTCACTGAGGAGTGCAGAGAAATATTTTTAAACCACTAATGGACAGTAAAAACTTGTGGCAACCCTGCGAGCTACCTGTGTATTAATCATGGATAGAAGTGCTGCGATGATTCATTGTTATCACCCAGTTTGAAGCGCCAATGTTGTGGATTTTGATTAAACTCGTGTTTGTTATATTGGTACATAACCACGCAAACGACGAGGTTTTGTGCGCATGCATGCGGAAGATGTCAAAGCATCGCTTGAAAGGTTACGCTGAGTAAATAACTTTTTGATCATCATAAATATGTGAAAAGAACTTCATTTTTTTTCAATTGGTGTAAATATTCATGATAGTGAACAAGTCTTTTCAATGCTTTAATATAATTTGTAAAATGTTCGCCTACATTAAGTACTTAGAAATTTGAAAGACTTCCTATCTATAAAGCTATAAGTACAATCCCGTACGAAATACATTTTGAGACTCCTTGAAGCAACAATTTATTAAGTTTATTCTTTAATACTTCCAAGAACATTTTATTTTGTTCTTACTAATAATCTATGCTCTAAAATAATATAAATCTCCAAAAAAAAATACTACGACGCATCTTTATGCACACCGTACATTGAAAATGACGTCATCGGCCCAAGTCTCCAAGTTAATTCGCACGGGCAGTACAATGTTTTTGTGTCGTAAATGTTTTTTAACAATTTTAAAAAAAAGTGATATTTCGGACATAGCTTTTGTAGTAAACAATGGTTTTAAAGGATAGTTATTTAAATATAATCTTAATCTTCATACCACCTGGCATATTAATTTAATTTAAAGCTATATCAATTATGTGTTGTCTTTTACTATAATAATATGGATAGAAATTTCAAAGTACCCAGAACATCATCTCCAAAAAAATCAATAAACTGCTCTGAGTAGGCAGTAGCAGCAGTAAATATGATTGAAATACAAGCCATTTTGGTCCGTACGCACCTTGAGTTTAGGGTAGAAGTCGGGCAGCCGGTTCGGCTTGAGGTTGAGCGTGTGGCAGATCTGGCGGTGGCAGGCGAGGATGGTTTTCATGGTGCCGGCGGAGCAGAACAGGTCGAACATCTCCGCGGCGGCCGCGCATTCCGGCGGCGTCGCCTCCACGCGACCACGGTTCATCTTGCCGCCCTGGTGGAAAACGAATATTTTATATAAGTGAACAAAGAATTACGAGCTTCAAGTGGCAGTGGGCAGGACACATTGCAAGGAGGACTGACGGCCGTTGGGGCGGAAAAGTCTATAGTAGCGGCCGCGTACCGGGAGACGAAGCGTTAGTAGGCCAAGACAAGGTGGACTAACGCTCTGGTTAAGGTCGCCGGATGCCGCTGGATGCGGGCAGCGCATGACCGATCAATAGATTTAGAATTCCTTGGAGGCCTGTGTCCAGCAGCTCTCGGCCGAAATGATGATGATGTTAAGTGACGACGGAGTCCAGATGCGAAGATGGCTAGAGCAGTAGTTTTACCTGCCACACCCAACCATCCTTACTTCGCGCGTGCACGGTAGGTACGCAGCCTATAAAATTTTATGAAAATACATGAAATTAAAATTGGCGAAATAAAAGCCTTTTTGTGTGAAGTAGTTTAACAAAATACGCACCAATACTGCGCCATCGAGCTTCTCTCAAAACAATAAACATAATAAATTTTAGAAAATTAGGTAACATTAAATTCGTCGTAAGTTATTACATGTTAAATTCCAAATTTCACACTATTAATACCAATCAGGAAACTTTTTAAATACTGTCTAAATTAAGTAGACAGGTAGAATATTCTATTATTATATATATATATATATATATATATATATATATATAGGTCAATATATAAGTTTGTTTCAATAAAATACTTTTGGAACAGCGTGTATATATTTATTTTACATACGTTTCGGGCCCTTTACAGCAGCTCTAATCTCTTTCTCCGAAACGAACTCCGAAATTTCGACAACGAACTAATTTCAAACCAAATTTCGCCCGTGACAACTCTATTTCATTTTCAAACACGTACCTAATATAAAGTTCGGATAATTTTGGTGAACGAATGAAACGAGTCTCAGATGTTTGCGAGTTCTTTTATCTCCACTTTTTAGATTACGTTTTTTACTTGGAATCAATATTACTTAACGACAAAATTATTGATAACAATAAAAAACCTTTTTTGACAGTGTTAGCAGACTTATTTGTAAAGTAGATGCAAACGATTGTATGTCAATCTAAATTTTTCGTTTAATACTTTGAAGTATTGAGTAAAACAATTAATAAATTTTTATTTATTGGTAAATTTTTATGCTAAAAAATGTTCCTCACGCTAAGCAGACTTGATTAGAAATGCAGTCATTTTAATTTAAAGAAATATCCCAAAACTAAAATGAAAACTTAACACTTTTAATTTCGTGAGGTTAAAATTTCTAACAAATTATCTGTCAAATTCAACTTTTCGTTCCAGTTTTGAGAATAGAGTAGGATTGGAGAATTTAATTGTTATTTTCGGACGAACGAATTTTCGAAATGAAAAAGAAACAAGAGTAAGGAACGTGCGAAATTTCGTTTTTCATTGAAATAGAATAGGCCTCATGGATTTCTTTTTTTTTATAGAAGTGCGTAAAAATATAAAAAATGCTGTTTTAAAAAGAAAGTAGGTGAGTACATCAGATCTAGATATAATAGGGGTGATGACGGGGTACAGTAAACGAAATTCTATTTAGTCCGTCAGTTAGATGATCAAAAAATAATGGACACGTATTTTTTCTTTGGGCAATCAACCAAAAAATAACAAAGTTATATAGCGCGTCAAAGTTTGGGAGTAGGGGCTCGTGACGTCAATTTTTATTGAAAATTTAACCGAAATGTGACGTCATGCGACTTTTCAAATCAATATATCTGTACAATGTTTATATTATGTGAAAAAATACGTGTCCAATACTTTTTGATAATCTACCTGATAAATGAAGAAAAAAAATCTATTGTTAATATCAGCCCGCGTAACATCGGTATGTATGCCCTTTCATCCAATGCCGTATGGTCGGCTTACACACTGACTGATCCTTCAACATGTCGCATCATTTTCAATTGGCTGAAAGGTCTTTATAGTCGGGCCAACGGCTCGAGTCTTGAGGGCGCGACACGTAAGACGTACTCCCTGGTGACCTTCACCTTACGCACTAGGGTTGCTAACGCTACTCTAATACGATTATATTCACTTATCCCTTTTCCGTCAAAGTGAATATTAATATGAAGGTAATACCATTAACTATTTTGATATAAAAAAAACTGTTCCAAGCAAGCCTAAGACGATTATGCTAAGCAAAAGGTACCTCTTTGCAACTTTATCATATAAAAATACCTTCAAATGGGTGTCGTGACTTATATGCAAAGGATTCCATACCCATACTGTAAATATTATTTGTTTTTTGTTTGTTACATAGCGAACATTGAACAAGGTGGCTGGCAGGAGCTGGATGAGTGTAGTCCAAGATCGATCTGAGTGGCGTGCAATTGGAGAGGCCTATGTCCAGCAGTGGACTAGGATAGGCTGTTGATGATGATGATAGCGAACAATTTAATTTCGCCCCTAGGGTAACGGGAACTGTTAAATATACTTATTATGTTGCTGAATAGCTGGCTTTTCAGCAAAATAATATGTATATTTTACGGTAAATTCATTTTAAGGGGTGTTAATCTTTTAAATGAGTAGTAGCGAGTGTGTCTTGAGACTAGGCTAATTCAGTGATTTCTCTAAAATAAAATATTAGTTGATTATTTTTTTGAAACAAAAATGAGAGTGTGTCTTGAGACTAGGCTAATTCAGTGATTTCTCTAAAATAAAATATTAGTTGATTATTTTTTTGAAACAAAAATGATGTCTATTCAGTAATTGTTCTAATAATTTTGTAAAACTTCATGTTTTGTTATTATGTACTTGTTGAAAATGTTAAAATAAATTGTACCAAGGGAATCAACTGCATTTTCATGCAATACTGAGTCAATGAATACGACATTTGAATGAAACTGTAGAGAGAAAGCAACCCTAGTTGACCTTGACATTGCAGACGCATCTGAAAGAAGACCTTGCCGTATCATTCAATTTACAAAGATGTTTGTCGATTCAACGTCTGACTCAATTTTATAATAATGATCAACACTAAGAAACGACATTCATTATACATAGTACAATTTATTTATTGACATTTCTCGTTTTAACGAACGTATGTCAAAGTCGACGAAAATAAGGTCAGTGTTCAGCACTTTAGTTTCACGAGTTAACTTTATTATAGGATAAACTTTTAGATCTATACAATAATAGTTAACTGCAATGAATGTCATCAAGAAATTTTCATAAGACTAGTGAGATGCTCTGCAGGATTTACCGGTCTTATTTGTTGAGATGATACGACTGTATATAATTAAGTTTGCCTATTCATTGAGCTATTTTTCCGTAGCTATTTTAGTAGTAAGTATGGAGATGACACCGATTGATATACTCGGCAACAAGAAAACGCGCCAGTTATCCAATTTCGCGACAGGCCATAAATTTCATCAGAAAAAGAAATTATTATTATAGAAAAAGAACAATGGAGAAATGAAATGAAATGTCATTTATTCAGTCTAGGCTATTACAAGCACTTGTGAAAGTCAAGAAGCTACGCCATCGGTTCGCAAAACTACGGCGAGAGACCTTGTACTGAGAAGAACCGGCAAGAAATTCAGCAAGGGCTGCTTTTTTCTCCCTGTATTGATATATACAGAGTCGTCAAGTTGAAAAATGACTTCAGACATACTTCTGAAGTCACCTAAAGGTGTTGTAATGTTATAAAAAAATATAATAGTCTAAGATCCGAACTAAAAACGATCTTCACCGAGCTGATAATAGAATAAATCATATTTTATAACAAATTTAGTATGTTAGAAAATATGTTGAAAATGGGTTGCCTAAAAAAATCCTGGACAGACAATTTTTAATTATTTAAAAAAAATGATTTATTTTTTTATTTTTGCAACATCAAGATAATAAGAAAATTTTTACCCTGACTTAAAGTATGAAACGTATAGAATGTGCAGCCGTTGGGTTGCCTATTATTTACCTGGACAAACTACTCGGTTGTCAGGTATAAACAGGTATGTCGATGCCAGTTACCTTCACTCGATTAGATAATCGAAAAAAAATTATATCAATATGAGCGTTGTTTTATTGCGAACACGGTGATATAGGGTTGTCTGCAAAAAACTTGGTCCTAATAGGGGTTTGCGAATTTTGAAGATTTTAATTTTAACGCGAGTGGAAATGTGTGACAGAGAGCCGAATTGAGTATAGCGTGTAATAATAAAGGACACAACATGGCAGTCGCATGTAATGGGACCTCGAATATCAGAAAGTGCGCATGCTCGGTAGTCATATGACAGAGAATGACAGCGATACTCTAGTAAACAGTGAGCGTTATTTTGGAGTCGCAACACGTGTTATTTTGTTCGGACAATTCTTTAAGTGATTTTACTAATGAAACTTTCAAAAATTGCTCGTTAAAGTTAGCTTTTCGTAAAAAAAAATCTTTAAATATCATAACATTGAACTAACTGAAGCAGTTCTCGATTTTGTTGGTTACCACACCACGTGTTACAAAAAAGTAACTGTTTTAGGCGATAAATACAATGAAGAATTTGGAGTTTTTTGTACAGAGTTTGCAGTAAGTATATAGTATATTATTCTTTCAATTATTATCTAATACAATTAGAAATCGTATAGTTTTGACATTCGTTGAATATTTATTTTTATCTAACGAGCAATCATTTCTATCAAATTCATTGTCTAAAAAACTATTTTGTTGAAAGATCTCTCGCTCGTTTTTTTCCAGTTCCTATTTTCTTTCAGTTTTTATTACTTTTCTTAATAATTTTCTCGAATAAAATTTGACAAAAAAAGTATTATTGATATAAATACAGTTTTCCATAAAAATAAAATTTCAAATATCAAGGTTATATACAAAAAATTACTTCTAGAAGCAGATCTATACTTCTATTGCTGATGAAGGTACAGAAAGCCTACATTCTAGTGTCCATTCTAGTGATGCAGCTACTAAGGGTGAAGAAAGTAATGCCTTCTACGGATTTGGATGAGGTACAGAAATGTTTTGGT